AAATGGTTAAAGGGGGAAGCATGCTCAGAGGTCGTATTATACGTTTGGTTGAAATATGTCAATTCTAGCTAACAAAGTTTTAAAACGTTAAGTATGTTAAATTTAAATTTTTCATTAGTTCTAACACGATAGATCAAGAAAAGGGGAATTGTAGAGAAAGGATGAAAGAAAAATAAAGAACAGAAAAAATCTGAGAGCGTTGATATTTGTATCTTCATTCCAAAATAAAACAAGACCATATATATAATGTATTTAAAGAATGCAATAATGATAAATAATTACATAGTTATAATGTCCACAATAAATATAATATTTATAACACTCACATTTGGACATTATTTGACCATAATCTTGCCACCATTAAAAATTCGCTAGGAAAATTCTGTGAGAAAAATCTATACAAGAAAAGAGTACAAGATATATAAATAATTATTTAAATATATTCAAGCCTCATTAAAAACTCGCTAGCAATATTTATAAAACTGACCAATGCCTTTTTCCATTATTTTTCAAGAACCTCAACCTTTTATCTATTCAAATTGATGGATCAAATTAAATTAGATATCACTTTTACTTTGGAGTTTGTTTTCACCTGAATCCTCTTTCTCACACACACCTAAATTATTAAGTATGAGTAGAGTTTATATTAAATATACACACTCAAATAATTCAATATATACATTCAAATAGCGACTGCTAATTAAAAAAAAAAAAAAAAAAAAAAAGAGCATATAACATGACTAGATCGAACATGTGGGGACGTGTACTAGAGAATACGGTGAATAAAGTAGCGGTTGGATTTGTCAAAGGCAGCTAAAAACACTTTTTTGACAATAATATTTATAGAAATACGAACCTATATATTGGTTTTGGTTATAATCATATTTTCCCAAAAAAAAAAAAAAAAAAAAAAAAAGAAGAAGGGGTGGGGGGGGGGGGGGGGGGGGGAGGTCTAAAATGGGTCCTATTATCTCAAGGTATGGCGCTAATATTTTCCATTTTACTTATTTGAACGATATTTTAATTTATGTTTATTTGCTATTTTGCTATTTAAAATTATAAATATTTGATTTATTTTTTACTAGAATTATTATTATTAAAATAGTTTATGATTAAATTTAATTATTAAATAATTTACCCTGTCTTTCATCATCTTCAATAGACAAAATGTAGTTTAAAAAATGATAGGTCAAAAAAATACTTCTACACCAATCAACGCCATATTAAGATCATTTCAATTTTCAATTATGAAGATATCTACATATTAAATATTTTGTGTAAAAAATACTTCTACACCAATCAACGCCATATTAAGATCATTTCAATTTTCAATTATGGAGATATCTACATATTAAATATTTTGTGTTATTTATTCATTGCCTATGTCAAAATATTGTAGTTTAGTAAGCATTCAAGAGTAAATTGATTTAATTGGAGGTAAAAATTTTGATCCATTTAAATTACAATATAATTTTAATTAATTTAAATAACGATGTTATAAATATTATTTTATTATTTAATTTACTTTACAATATTGAATGTTATCATAAATACTATTATAAAAAGACATATATTCCTTATATCCCTCTCCAAGCAACCTCCTACTTTAGATGATATTCAACAACCAAATCACAAACATAAAACATTATATTGGTACGGTGTTGTGCGAATTACAAGGTTTTCACAATTAGCCATTTCTTATCTTGTTCTACAATGCTTTCTACTGATAGCTAATCCTATTAAAATTTACCCATGCATAATCTTACTAAAATTAAAGAAATTGGACTATGTACTCTACGGGATTAGAGTAGTTGGAGTATTCACAATGAAATTAAAGAGATTGGACTATGTACTCTAATTGTACTGTTCATAATTGAAGGTTGTGTTCTTCAAGGAATAAGGGTAGTCAAAAAGTTTTTTTTTTTTTTAAGCAAAAACATTTTTATTTCTAAATAGCATTAATATCCAATCATTCAGTTACATACTTACCTTGTGTTGCAAATGCCATCCTTAATTGTTCTATAAAATACAGAGTTACTATTTTGGTCCAAGTCATGATGTATAATAATTATTAGTTTTGTCTTAAACTTTACATTATATTCACTCTCACGCACACACATAATATATAGAGAGAATAAATTAAAATTTAAATAAATAAATAAATTTATGAATTTGTTAGCAAATTTTGAAGAAAATGCTTACTTTACTACAGTAATATATTTCACTACTTTACATGGCTCTTTGCAATAATTTATCATTATTTATATTAATTATACATAAACACATATATAAACAATTCCAAAAATTTGGAGTAGTTAGAAACAATTAACAAATGTTTGATAACCAATTTTCTAACCACCTCGTAGTTAAACTAAAATTTCAGTTCAATTATATTTGGTTTATAACTAACATTGTGAACAGATTCATTGTTCCCTCTACTAGCTAGCAGTTGGAATTTGGCTACCAGAGTTGTTTACTTGTTTTTATAGAAGTTTTCAAAATCAATTGTCTTTGGTTAGCAAAACCATAACCTCGGCAAAATTTCGAAGCCTAGTACACAAAGGGTATGAAGAATTATTGTAAAATTATATGTAACTTTTTGTTTTATGTGTAAAAAACATGTATGCATGAAGATAGGCTGCATTTGTTCAATCTAGTTTGGTTTGATTTTCAAAGATCAAATTCAACTGGTCTTGTAAATTAAATTCCGTTTATTTTAGAAAATGAAAAATTAGATTGATTTATTATTACTAAAAGATCGACTAGTTTGAATTGATCTATGGGGTTATGGTCAAAATGGCTCAAGGACCTAAGTACCATAAGCACATTGATGATGTTGAATTGAGTGGGAGCCTAAGGCTCGGGAGCAAATTAAGTAGCCTCATTCACCGTCTATGATGGGGATGGAGCGTGTCAAAATAGTTTAATCGATGAGAAAGTATTTCATACCCGAAAAAAAGGTCAATGAATTTGAACTATCTTACTTTACGGGGATAGGAATAGGAATAACGATATATGTTGTTTCCTTCCATACCAGACCACCTATTGGCGTGAGAGGTAGAGTGGGGCAATGTGATTTTAGTAGTTGCTTGCATGGACAACTCAGTTGGTATTCGCCGTGATTTATTTATGCATAATCATGTCGAGTCGAAGTGATTTCATATAACACTGTGAGTAAGGGTGAAAATTGTGATAGTAAATTCCAACCTGAAGAAGAATTTAGATCAATACTGAGAATGGGATTCAATGGAGATTAGAGAGTGGCAAATTATTCTGTGGACTCGGGTCTAAATGTTTACAATTTACATACTAAGAATGTGATTGGAAACCTGGAGGAAATTATTTTCCGGATTTTCAGTGTTTGTCAAGGAGGAAAAAATACTAAAGTCAATGTAATATGAAGTTTAGTCAATGAAAAATTGATGCACTTCTACAGAAAATGACTTTCCTTTTTTTTTTTTTTTAGGTGAAGTCATTTTCCGCTTCTTCTTCGCGCGACCACAGAGACCTTCGTGCCGCTTCCTTCTTCTTCTTCACACGACCACAGAGACCTTCTTCGCACCGCTTCCTTCTCAACCACCGAAAACGGTTTCCAGCTGTGGGTATGAAAAGCCGCTTCCTTCTCAACCACCAAATCAGTGCTTTGGTCTGGTTTTCAGCGATGGAAACCAGTCCAATTTTATGTTTTTATTTTTTTTAAAATAAATTTATTGTTTGTGATTTATAATTTTGCTCGATTATAACAATCAAAATGGTGAAGTATACAATTTTGCTTATTTTCTGGAAAATGAACCAAACACACAAAGATAGTTCTCTTTTGTGCAGCCAAACATTGGAAAGGAAAATGTTTTCCAGAAAATAAGTCATTTTCCAAAAGTCATTTTCTTGCTTTCCAAACGGACCCTAAGGGGATGTTTGGTTCATGGAAAATGTTTTCCAATCCAAAGTGAAGGAAAATGTTGTTTTCTAGTGTTTGATTCATGAAATTCATTTTCCTCAAATTTGAGGAAAACAAAATCCTTGGTTGGATCAAGGATTTTGTTTTCCATGGAAGATGGGAAGAAAAAGTGAATAGATTGCCTATTTTACCCTTACTTTCTTTTTTAATTATATTACTTTTATTAATTTGTAGGGGCATATATGTCTTTATACTCATTATTCCTTACAATTCCAAATCTAACCAAACAATATAATTAGTATTCCCAGTAATTCTTTTTCCACCAACCAAACAATGAAATTCATCTTCCTAGTAATTGTTTTTCCATGGAATTCCAATTCCACTTCCCTTAAAATATTTTCCGCGAACCAAATGAGCCCTAAATGTTCACAATTTACCTTTTAAAAATTCACAATTTGTATACTACGAACACACAATGTTGACATATATGTAATTTGATTACCTTGTTTTGTATTCACAAGTTCCTTTCAAATACTGCAATCACACAATATTAACATATTAGGGTTTGACGACTTTGTATTGTATTCACAAATTCTATGTGTTTTGACTTAGAAACACAATTTATATACTAGAAATTCACAATTCCAATACTAAAAATACACAATTTATACGTCGTTTATGAAAGGTGGATCTTGGTCCATGGTATAACAACTCTTAGAGAGGGCAAATTATTTTGTGGACATGCAAGGTGGATATGGGTTCAAAGGTTCACATTTTATTATATATTAAATATTCACAATTTATCTTTTAAAAGTTCATAATTTGTGATAACTCTGTATGTGTGTATTGTATTTACAAATCTCCAAAATTTAAAAACACAATTTATATTCTAAAATTTCACAATTCTAATATTAACAATACACAATTTAGGACCAGAGTCCACCTTGCAAGATGTGTCCATAGTATAAGAACTGGCTAGAGAGTGTAATGGTCCAATATTTTGGGCTTTCTCATTCATATAATGAAATGGGCTACCTATTATTTTGTGAAAAGTTGGAATCTTATGTGCTGTCCAAGCCCATCTCCTCCTACCCGTCACTTTAACGTTACAACCACCGGCGTAGTAGCCTTCAGAGTTTATACGCAGAAAAATCCAGTTTCCAGCAGAATCTCCGGCAGCAGAATCCATGGAAGCCGCTTCCTCTGCAATTCTGAACACTCTTCCCGCTACTACTACTTCTGCTAAGCTCTACAGAATTCATAGGAAAAATTTTGTGTCGCTGTCTTATCTCCCTCTTATAACGCCAAGAACTCCCGCTCTTCGGAGCCGCAGGGTGTGCTTCAGCGCCTCCACCTCCTTCTCCAGTAACACTCAAGAAAACCCATGCCAGGAGATTGCTCTTCTTCTTGAAGTTGAAGGGTAATTTTTTTTTTTTTTTTTAGTTACTGTTCCCCATCGAGTAAATGCAATTCCATTATAGAACTTTCGATTAGCAAATTGAACTTAATTGAAGTTATCTGCAAATGGGATTGTTAATCTGAGTTTAAATTAGGCTGATTTTTGTTAGTGGCATTGTCTTGTAGCTTAGGTCCCAATTTGAAAAAAAGTTGGTAATCCTTATATGATTCTTCTTGAGTTCTTTGTATACTTTAGTTTTCCTTTTATTCTCTTATAAGTTTCTTTTCATTCAGGGTCCTGATGGATATCTATCGCTTTGGCAATCGGCAAGCATTCAATGTAGGTGGGGATCTTTTCCAAAATTAATGAAATTCAACTAAAGGGTTATAAGTGTAGGTATTCTATGTAATAGCATTTCCTATGCATATAGATAATAAAAGAAAAAGCAAAAAAGTTGAAAAAAGCTTATCTTTATGGCCATGATCAACCCGCAAGTATATCAATCCATGAGTCTATAATATTGGTTTGCTTTCTAATTTCAGCATTTCAGAAGCTTGGATTGGACTGTGCAAGTTGGACTCAACCAGTTTATCAGGATCTTGTAAAGTACGAAGCTTTAACAGACTTGATTTTATTTTGTTTTATAAGAATTATAAATCAGCAAATCATCGTAAATAATAAGTGTTTCTTTTTAGGAAGAGCATTGGTGATGAGGAGAGGATGTTGATCTTATATTTTAACAGGGTGAGCTACTTAATCTATGATGTTTGAATCTAATTAAATCAAGACATTATTGTTTAAAGTTTCAGGCAGGCATTTATGGGCTTTTCAAGTGCTATTTTACTGTGTGCAGATTGGCTGGCCAACATCGCTACCTACAAACGAGAAGGAAGCATTTTTGAAAAGAGTTCTCCGTGAAAAGGCAATTGGCTATATTTCAGTGATTAAAACGTGCATTGATACGATATATTAACATGAACTTATCATAATTGATTTATCTGTTCTTGAAGTGGAGAATAGTGCTATTCTAGATCTTTTTGCTTCATTTTCAGCGTTCTCACCAAGCTGCAATGTGCTCTTCGCTGTTATATTTTATTTTTCTCCTTTGATTTTCTTCCTTTGCGTATTTATTCTCATAGTTGGGAGTCCACACAATGAAATTTTATTCAATTGTTTTCTTCGAGTAGAGAGCTAATTTGAGTTATTCTCTGGCAGAAAAATGCACTGGATGATCTTGTTATATCAAAAACATTACCTTTAAGGCCAGGGGTCGAAACGTAAGCATCTGTGGATTGTCCTTAGCTGTGTTATCTCTCTCGAATGAAAGACTTACAGGGTACTTACGTGCAGTTTTATTGATGAGGCACTTGAAGAAAGTATACCTGTGGTTATGCTAACGGCCTATAGTAAACGAGGGGATAAGGTCGCAAGGTACTTCTATTTTATTTGTAAATAAACTGTTCTCGCAAAATATTTGAACTAGATCGAGATGCACTGAATTCTTGTAGCATAGATAGAATTGACGTCTCGAGGGAATATGTCTCAACACTAAACCAATTAGGTGAAATTCTACTGCTTTAATTGTGCTCTTATGAGGTCGGGAGTTCGAACCCCCTATCGTTTGGAAAAACCAATCTGGCCAGCACTTTGCCCCTTAATTGGGCCGGCCCGGTGCGAACGAGGATTAGTTTGAGTATGGTACGGGCTTAAAGGTGTCTCTTACAGTTAGGGTCTGCTCAGGACACCTCGTGGTCTGACCAATTGTGCTCTTATCGCTGTTGATCTCTTATTTGATTTTAAGATCCATCGTCGAAAAGCTTGGGAGTGATCGAATGTCAAAGATGAAGATAATTGGGGATGAAGAGGTAAAGCGAAGTTTTTATGGCCAACTTGTACTTGGTAAAGGAGTGTCTTCTGATCTCGGTGAGCTATTGGCTAAAGAAGCAAATAAAGCAGGTAACTTCCCGTGTGTGAATTGGTCTTATGGTATATTCACCGACGTGTTAGTAATAATGCTAATATATATGACTATATGTCGTCATAACCAGTTTCTGCCGAGGAGCAGAAAATTGCAAAGGAGGTAGCTTCGATGCTGAAGTTGAGTGTTGATATTGATACGACTTCAACTGAAAGGTTGGTCCGCCTTTTTACTCTATATGCACTGGAGGTCATTATTAATACACCTCTGAATATAATTAACGGTCATTTGTAGTTCTAATGTCATTTTAGAACTGCAAAACCAAGCAGGTGTAAAATTGCATCCTGAATGTGGTCATGGACATGGCCAAACCACACTAAAAGATTGAATCCAACCAATTAGCTAGTCTAATCTATGGCCTTATAAACCCATATATTCTCTCTTATTTTATCAATGTGAGACTCTTTAACAATTTGCATTATGTAGTTGGCCAAATTTATTGATGCCCGTTGCTTCTACAGCTTTGAAAATATTGTCGCTGCATTGCGGGCAGGGGCAGAATATGCTGACACGCCTGTCGACAAGTGCATTCTTGTTGCGGGAAGTCTATCTGGGGTTACTGCCGCTGAGCGAATTGGCATGCCTCGCGTTGTTGTTCGGAGCAGGTAACTTGAAATCAATATTTGGACCAGATGGCAATAAATTAGTAATTAGTAATAATAGTAACAATAACAAGTTTTAGTTATGAAACAACTGTCATTGACCGACTAAATGAAACCCTCGTATCTAATGTGAATGAAACCATTCTCTTGGCTTCGTCCTTTCGTGATTTGAAGCGTGACAGCTAGAGCGGAGTTCACTGGCGCAAATGCAGTAATGGATGGCTTTGGCGGCGCCGATCTGACAATTTCCAGGTTACGCCAAATCCAGAAGTCGTAATTGTTTCTCAGAAGGTATTCTTCGAGTCTAAATAAAAGGATTCATTGAATTGTAAAATAGGAACATGTTAATGGTGCAGCCATGTACACTAGTGTATTTAGCCTTTGGCACTTCTGCAACCATCAACACTTATACTTGTTTCATTTACCAGTGAACATGTACTGTGCGAATATCATATATAGTTGTACTTTTTTGGGTGACCGACTCAAACTAAAAAGGCTAATAAGCCACTCTCACTAGAAGTCAAACTTAAAACTTTGTGGTTAGTCTGACCAATAATGGCTGGGCTACCTCTATAAGTTGTACTTTTTGATATTATAGCATCTGTGGTGATATGTAATTTATTTATGATTTTATAATTATATTCTAAAATATCATAGTAGGATTATTTTCAAATACAAATCCCCCTTAAAATACAAACTGTGTGCATGTAAGTATGTTAATGTGTGCACGAGTTAATCTCAGATATTGTTGGCAGTGTGCCCAATGTGCATGTAAGTATGTTATGTGTGCACAAGTTTTGATGGATGATTGTGATTTTTTCTTCCTACGCGCTGTGTGCATGTAAGTATGTTAATGTGTGCACGAGCTTTGATGGATGGTTGTGATTTTTCCTCCTACGCGATGTGCATGTAAGTATGTTAATGTGTGCACGAGCTCAAGTTTGTATTTTAAGGGGGTTTGTATTTGAATGCAACCCTATCATAGTAAATGTAAATATTATTATATTAGATTATATATATAATGACCTTATCGTCTGATGGTACTAAGTTGTTTTCTCACATGGGAGATTGTGAGTTTGAGTTTGAAAGTAGTTATAAACAGATAGTGCATTATAACAGAATCAATAATGCTCAAAGAAAATTATAGGTGATATTTTGCATGTTACATTTGTGGGACCAACTAGGCTGCTTCTCATTCTATGTAGTTGGCTTTGGCCTAAATATGCCCCTAGCTTTTGTCTGTATTACAAAAATGCAACCACTGTATATATTACCGTAGAAGACAACCGGCGCATATTAGCATCTCATTCAACTTACAGTCACCTAGGTTAGATCCCCATAATGGAGCTCTGATCCGTTTGATTGTATCGTTCCTCGTCGGGTCAATCCACTGCTAATCGAGCCACGAACCGGAGGAACATCTGCCGGTGCCGCCGGACGCAAGGACTTTACGAGCAGACTAATTCACCGTTGATCAGCTGCTCTGAATACCGGATTCCGTCGCCGCCGTTATCATCTTCTGTACTTGTTCTCTTAGCTTTCATTCTTTTTATGCAGTTAAGAGACGGTCTCGTCTGCGTTCTGCTCAAAAAAGCATCCACTGTGTATTAATTTTTTGATATTTGTATATACGGACGGAGTAAACTAGATGAAAACCGGCGCATATTAGCCTTCTCTTCGATGGCCAGTCGCCTAAATGTCCATAGAGAACTAGCATCGATGAATGGAGCTGTGATCTGTTTGTTATTTGTGATTGAATTGTTGTTTATGCCTGTTTGTGTGATTTCATTGCGAATCGGGCCACTTTCCGGAGCGGATCCATGTCGAAAGCCGCGGGATTCTAGGGCTTTGTGGGCAGACCAATTGACTGTTCTGATCAACGGCTACTCCGAGCATCGGATTCCACTACTGCATTCCATCGCCGCTACATACTCCGCCGCCACTGCCTCCGTCTCTGCCGTTATTATTCTCTGGAGCAACCCCTCCACTTCAAGCCAAACCCTAGCCGAGCTCTCGCAAAACCTCACATCTATCTCCACCGGCGGCGCCTCAATCTCAGTGATTCGGCAGCCATCTACGAGCCTCAACCTCCGGTTCTACCCGCAGAAATCGATCACCACCCGCGCCGTCCTCGTCTGCGACGACGATGTCGAGCCCGATATCGACTCCATCAACTTCGCCTTCAACGTTTGGAAATCCAATCCGGATCGCCTCGTAGGGTTCTTCGCCCGGTCCCACGACTACGACCTGTCGGAGAAGAAGTGGATCTACACGATGCGCAACGATAAGTACTCCATAATCCTCACGAAGATAATGCTTTTCAAATCGGAGTACCTCTACAAGTACACCTGCGAAACTCCGCCTGAGATGCTCCGGCTAGTGGACAGAATGAACAACTGCGAAGACATTCTGATGAACGTCGTCGTTTCGGATTCAACCAACGCGGGGCCAGTTCTGGTGGGGGCAAAGAGAGGGGTGAGGGATTGGGGTGACCCGAGGAACGAAGGCGGGGTGGAAGAGGAGAGGGGGGTGGGGTTGAGTAGCAGGAGAGGGGAGCATAGGAAGAGGAGAGGGGATTGTATTACGGAGTTTCACAGAATTGCCGGAAGAATGCCGCTCCGGTATAGCTACGGGAAGGTGGTGGATCACGTCGGCGAACAGGGGCTTTGCCGGAAAGGCGACCGTTTGGTGTTCTGTGATGAGCAATCACCGGATTTTAAATGACTTCAAATTTAAAACAAAAAGGTACATTTTTGTGTAGCATTTGTTAAAAAAAAATCGTTTAAATTATGAAATCCCATTATAGCAAATTAGCAATGCAATTAATTTGATATTTTGATCCATATAGGTAGAGATTGAATGAATTGATTTTAATTTTTAGCTTTGTATTTGTACTGTATAAAAATTGATGGAGTAAAAGATGCCTTCCAACTAAGGACAATGGATGGGAACGTGCTGGCAAATATCCTACTCCTCTCGGGCCACTATCGTTCTAATAGTAATCACGAGAATAGTTAATATAGAGAAAGTAACCTCCTTAATTACTATAAATGATTGAGGGTATTAATATATAAGAGAATCAGATGAGAAAGGATGTAGACAACATCCATTGCTATTCTATAATTGGTAAGTGTTACTGTAGAGACTTCTCTATTGAGTAGTTGTTTTGATGTGTTTTCCTATTATATAAAAAATAAGAGAATATTAATTGTAGAAGAATTGTAGTGAGAAAAATCGTTATAAAAAAAGAAAAAAAATCCAGTCCAAATAAAGTTGGACATAAAATTAATTGATGCAAATCAAATCAAACGATTAATTTTTATTTATAATCTATACATTGTTAATTCAATCCAGGAGATTTTCAAAAAAAAAAAAAAAAAAAAAAATCAATCCAGGATTAATATTATACGTGATTCCAAATTCACTGGGTTAATCCTAAGCCCACAGGATTTCGTTGCTAGAGCTACTAAGGAGTTAAATTGCAAGTCATACAATCAGTTCATCAGTCAAATCCTAATTTTTATGTGCGCACAAGGGATCCAATCCTAGTCGTTATATCGTGGACCGCGGTGCACGTGCATCGCAGTAAAAACGGCGTCGTTTCTTTAAGTAAAGAAACGGCGCGCCGTTACTGTTAACGGAGCGCGCATTTTTTGGTGTGTTAATTACCAACTGAAACTACAGTGTATCTAAATTGACACTACAATGTATCTAAATTGACACTGTCTCACGTATTATTTAATATATTATCAAATGAAACTGAAGTTATATCAAAATGATACTGTAGTTGTGGTGAAATGAAACTGCAGTATATATAAAATGAAACTAAATAACATTTCACATATTTGAGTGTATATTGTGCAATGAAGTTGTAGTTATATCAAAATGATCATGTAGTTGTGCTTTAATGAAACTATAATGTATATCAAATAAAATTAAATAACATTTTCACATATTTGAGAGTGTAAATGTCAAATGAAACTGTAGTTATATCGAAATGAAACTGTAGTTATATCGAAATGAAACTGTAGTTGTGTTGAACTAAAACAACAGTGTATTCAAAATGAAACTGAATAATAGAGTTACCTTTTGCGAAACGGCGTGAAACGAGTGCCTGTTTTTTTCATCAAACAAAACGGTGTCGTTTTGAAGCTCAGTGCATGATATAATTTGCCATCCAATCCATACATTTTACTTTTATTTCATTTTTTACTCTATGATAAAGTGATATGTTTTGATTCATCTAACAACTATTAATAACCAAGACTATGTGGTCTAATGGTACCTGGATTGGAGTTCAAACCTCAATGTTGTAATAAAGTCAGTAGCATCGTTGGACAAATTTATTTTGATTTTTGAGCCGAAAACCTACGATCGGGTAAAGTTAAATTAATTAAAAATATTATGTGTATTTTTATTTTATACTCTTAATTTTTATTTTTATATCCAAAACCTTGATGTAAACATTGTATTAGATTTAAATAAAAAGGATAATTTATCATATCTGCTATATCAAAGAGTCAAATTAGATTTGGGAATATATGTACTAGAAATCTAAATAAACCCTTCTTCCACAAAATAAGCATTACAACTGTCAACGGCGAGCCAGGGTTGAAATATACCTTTCTCCCTTTCGCTTGACAATTATACCTCCATCATCTCCTTCTTCTCCTTCTTGTCTACTCAACTCCTCGAAACTCTCTAAAGTTTTCCTACTTTTATTGTATCTGAGCTGAATCGATCAGAGCCATACACTGATTCTTTTACTTTATTCTGAAGTGAATCGATCAGAGGCATGGCTACCGCCGGAAACAAGAACATGAACGCCAAGCTGGTATGAACTTTTCATCGTTTTCACCTAACCCCTTAAAACGAACCAAGTTGCTTCTTTTATGCGGGGATTGGGGTGGTTGCCTTTGGTTATGCTTATATCTGATCTTGGGTCTGCTCAAAATTTTCTACAGTATTATCAACAAGTTCTTTGTGCCGATGGTTAAGCTTTGTTCACCATATATCTCTTGAAAGTTTACTTGAAAATTGAAATTGAATTGCCCTATTTTTTTTTTTAAAAAAATCTTTATGCTGCAAAATTTGTGTTTTAATGCCAATTTGATCTTTATTTCTTTAGTATCATTTGTTTGTGATCAGATTCTTTTGCTTTCAAGTTTTAGACTATTGTTTTTAGTGTTTCAATTTGACTTCTGGTACTGAATTGTGTTGTAGGTGCTCCTAGGAGATGTTGGAGCTGGAAAATCAAGTCTGGTATTGCGTTTTGTTAAAGGACAATTTATTGAATTCCAGGTCGGTTGTTAACTAATTAACTTGCTATCAATTTTGATAGCCTGTGATTTTTAGCTTAAATTTTGACTTGTGATTTGCTGTATCTGTTGGGCTGTTGCCCAGGAATCTACGATAGGAGCTGCTTTTTTCTCACAAACAGTGGCAGTGAATGATGCAACTGTGAAATTTGAAATATGGGACACAGCAGGTCAAGAGAGGTACCACAGTTTAGCTCCAATGTACTATAGAGGAGCTGCAGCTGCCGTAATTGTGTATGATATAACAAATCAAGTAAGTGTTGCAGTGCATTCTATGCTCCAGAAGTACTTCAGCTTGAAACTTATCTGTTGTCTAGAAAGGGAAAATTAATTTGATCTGCTTGAGAAAATTTTTGAAGTATATTTACTACAGTTGATTCTTTGCACATTATTTTAGAAATTAAATTTAGTTTCAATTGGTACTTTTTCTCTTTGTAGGCATCCTTTGAACGAGCTAAAAAATGGGTCCAGGAACTTCAGGCACAAGGTTTTCTACCTCTCATGTTATTTATTTATTTTGTTCTGTTTATTCTGTTTTTTTTTTTTTTTTTCTCCTGATAATATACTTGAGTGATGAGGGTTGTTTCATTTTTAAAGTTGCTTTGCAAAATTATTGTGGTTAAATTTAGCGGGTGTTATTTATTATAATCTATAGGAATTTTCTTTATTTTAGTACTCTACCATCTCTCTGTTAACTTATGGAAAGGGTTAAAAGAATGTCTACAATCTGCTCTGACTGAATTTGCAAAATATTGATAAAATTAGGAGGTATGTGCAAATTGTGCATTTTAGAGAAAATCACTTTTGGTCCTATGACTATTGGAGTATTGTTAATTGCAATTCACGAGTTTCAAAACTATCAATTTAGTACCGTAACTATTCAATTTTTCTCAACTTCAGTCCCTCCATCCAAATTGCCCGTGAAAAGTAGCCGGAAAATTTTAATGGGTAAAATAATGAGGGCATTAGTCCTTTTCTTCTCTTCCTCCACATTTCTTGCTCTGAAACTGCACTACTGCAGTCACTGTCTCGCCGATCTACTCTACCATGGTGGAAACATTCTTCTTATTCTCTTTTGGAATCACACTTCACGGCTTACGCCCTGGAAATGTTCCCTTGCTGCTCTCTCCACTGTAACCCTTCTCTGATTTCCCCTTCCCCTGCCATCCCATTTCTGCCATTTTTGCTCCTCTCTGTAGAGTATCTTTGATAATTAAGTGTGTTGTTTCTCCCTAACTTAAGATCAGTGTAATTTATAGGCAAAGTGTGTGTGTGTGTGTTCATGCAGAAAAAGGATGTCAACAGACATGTGTTGTTCATCTTCTGGTTAAAGTTGCAGAAAATGTGTGTTTTTTTCCTGGTTTCCGTGTTCTCCAATTAATCAAATTACCACAAATTTTGTGGTTTTGTGTGTTTGATAACAATTATAATTAATATTTCTAAATAAAAAATGGAAAATGGCATCACATCGTTCACGTGTCGGAAACCACCAGAATAGCCCCATCCATCTGGGCAGCACCGGTAATCATATTCTTGACATAATCAGCATGGCCGGGGCAGTCAACGTGGGCATAATGCTGGTTCTCAGTCTCGTACTCCACTGTAGCAGTGTTAATGGTAATCCCACAAGCAAGCTCTCTCTTCCGGGGTGGTGTCGATTTCGTCGTATTTCTTGGGGGCGGAGTAACCATTAGCGGCCAAGGCCATGGTGAGGACGGCGGTTAGGGAAGTCTTCCTGTGGTCGACGTGGCCGATTGTGCCAATGTTGACGTGAGGCTTCTTCCTCTCGAACTTGACATGGGCAGTGCGAACCGTGAAGCGCCAGTGGCGGATGGCTGCTGGAACGGCGGCGGAGGGTGACTGGATGAAGTGGGTGGACAGAGTTGGCATGAAAGAAGAGGATAAGATAAGCTTAGAGGGTTTTGAGGGGGTGGGGGTTGGAAGAAGGGGTGTATGGGTAATGGGTATACTAATTTACTGTTGACGGCTGTTGACGGCTGTTGCGGCGACGGAAAAGAGAAGAATGAGAAGAGAAGGAAAAAAAATGGACAAGAAAGAGAAGAGGAGAAGAAAAAGACTAAATTGTCCTCATTATTTTACCCATTAAAATTTTCTGGTTACGTTCTGCCGGCAATTTGGTCGGAGGGACTGAAATTGAGAAAAATTGAATAGTTACGATACTAAATTGATAATTTTGAAACTCGTGAATTGCATTTAACAATACCCCATAGGACCAAAAGTGAAATTTTCTCTGCATTTTACAAGCATAGACAAAAAAAAAGTCCTTTTAGTTTGTTAAAAATCACATCTTCAATGCCTTGAATGGAGTCACACAAATCCTTTTACCTTGTTAAAAATCAGTTATTCTATTCATTTTTGGGATTGTAATCTGAATAATGTTTAATAGTTGAAGAAACGTTATCCTTCAAAATAGAAACAGTTAAATGGAATTTTTTTTGTGGCACTCTTTTCCCCTTGAAAGGTTTTACTCACTACTATCTATGCTTTTACTAGGTAACCAGAACATGGTTATGGCACTTGCTGGAAATAAAGCTGACTTGTTAGATGCAAGAAAGGTTGCACCCGAGGCAAGTTCTGTAATTCTATGCTTTAGACTTCTATATGATTTCAGAGTTCAAGCTGAACCTCTCTCTCATGGAGTATAGCTTTTATTTGTTTTCGTTGATGCCTTGTTGCAAACTGGGAAAAGTATTTAGCCTCCTCCACATTTTTGTTTCAGAACATCAATGTTTCTTAAGTAGTTCTGACTTGTGTTGCAGGAAGCACAAAAATATGCAGAGGAAAATGGGCTTTTCTTTATGGAGACGTCTGCAAAAACTGCAACCAATGTCAATGACGTTTTCCATGAAATAGGTAAATCTTTATTCAAAAGCTTTCTGGTTTATAACGAGGAGTCCACACAACCAATGCCCACAGATCTTAGTTTGGTTACCTAAGAAGTAATTGAATGTTTTCAAAACCGTCCATTTAGCACATATATAGTCTCAATACTATTCACTGTTATTTTAGCTGTCACAGTATATACCAGTGTACTGGTTGTTTGCTTGTCTGTCAATTTGGAGTAGGCTGATTTAAGAACCACTTGGGTTTCTTTAAACCTTTCACTTGGTATATCTCATAATAGTGTATGCCATTAGCCCATTACCATGACAAGAATTTATGTTTTAAATGTGTGCTAATATGGATTAGGTTGCTTTTATCATGTCATCTGTGGAAAATTATTGTTCCCAAAGGTTGAATCCCCAACCCCAAGGGCCCCCATGCCCCGGTCCAACAGTGCATCTGAGATGATGTAAATCATGGTAACTCAGTTGAACACAGAGGCTAGACCTTTGTTTACTGCGTACAAGGAGCCCCCCTCACTTTGAGAGGTTGCTCCCACACTGCTGCTGGTGAGACCCTATGACCAACTGAGCTGCCCATGCGGGCTTCTGTGGAAAATTATTACTATGATGAATGGTGATCTGATGTCAAGTGAAAATGGTCACCATTGTAGTGGACTAACTACTTTGGAACTTAAATATTCGATTTTTAAAAATTTGTGAATCACTCACTACATATCTGTTATTGTTCTATATCTTTCCATGTTTCATGTGCAGCAAAGAGGTTACCCCGTCTGCAGCCTGCACCAAATCCATCGGGCATGGTTCTTATGGACAGATCTGCTCAAAGAGCCACCACTACCAGTTCTTGCTGCGGTTAACCTCCATTATCATATGTGCAGCGGAGAAATGCACCCTGTTGGTCTGTATCTATATTCTTATGTTTGGTTAAATATAATGAGTTGTGTTGTCAACTCCTGCACAGGAATTTGTTTAGAGTGTTGAATTGGCCTTTCATGAATTCTATTTCTACACACAACAGTCATACTCTCCAGTGATGTCTTTATGTATTCATACAAAATCTGTCACAAGAGCCATGAATGCCATAATAGTAAAGAACAATTCTCTATACCCATAGTAGAGGATTTATTCTCTGAATTGGTAGGAACAAAGTTGTTCACCAAGGTTGAATTAAGGTCTAGATACCATCATGTGAGAATAAAGGTTGGATATATGTTCAAAGTTGGCAGATTCCTTGTGCGCACCGGCATTTGGACCTGTTCGCTGAACCATTGAGTCACCGTGACTTGGCAAATTATTGTGTGGACCATGACCCACACAATGTTATGTGGACCATAATAAAAAGTACATTTGTAATATACTAAATGTACATTATTTTTGTACTGGATGTACATTATACAATATAATGTACACTCAGAACAAAAATAATGTATATCCCCTGAATACAATATACATTATTTTTGTACTGAATATACATTATTTTTGTACTAACTACTGAATGTACATTATTTTACAGTAGACAAAATATGGTCCATACAATTTGTGTGGACCATGGTCCACACAATAATGATTGTCGTGATTTACATCCTCCCAAATGTTATGTCGGGTCGGAGTGTGAAGGACCCTTAGGGTTGGGGATTCAACCTTTTTGGGAGAAGAATAAAGGTTGGATAGGAATATAAGACTCATTGAAGGTTGTATGAGTTCAGGGTTATGTTATTTGGACCCTCTTCCATGAACTTTCAACTTTGAGTTTAATTTGTCATTTTGTTCAAGTTTCGGCGTGACAATAACTTTCAACTCTTTCAAAAATGCTCTAAAAATCATTAAATTCTTCTTATGATCAAGAATTTAAACTAATTACACAAATAAGGCATATAAGGAACATTTTGGTCGATGGTACACCAATATCAAGCAAAATGAGTTTGGATATATGGCATAAATAACTACTATTTGGCAGAAAGGCATGCAATGAGTATCAAATCGTCACCCATAAGCATTAAAAATATACATAATAAAAATTAACTATATTATTCGTAAAGTTTAAGCATATGAGTATTTACCAAAGAAGTCTGTAAAATTTAGACACAGAGAAAAAAATATGTAAAAGGTAGAGAGAAAATATTGTAAAGAAAATTTTAGAATATAGAGTTTGGAGATATATTTAAACTACTTATATTTAAAGATATTTAGAAAAGTATATTATTCTAACTCAAAGTAGATTATTCTAACTCATAATATTTATCGATGTCGTTTTAGAGCGTGGTCCACACAATAATTTGTCAAAATATGGGAGGAAATTATAAGGTGATGTGGAAGAGTTGGGCCCACAATTTGAAGATAAAAGGGGAGAACCATTGTGGATGCCGGGAGACTAAGATTGGGAATCATAAGTAGACTCAAATATATAGATAGAGTCCCAATACTCCCCCTCAAACACAGGGTAAAGATGTGACATGTAGTTTGTCTCTAAGAAAAGAAAACCTAGGACTTGCTAAAGCTTTTGTAAATATGTCAGCAAGTTATCTTTGGTAGAGATAAAGTTGACTTGAATCTCTCCCTTGGCAACTCTGTCCCTCACAAAATGATAGTCAATTTCAACATGTTTAGTGCGAGCATGAAAAATAGGATTAACACACAGATATGTAGCACCAAGATTATCACACCACAACTTTGGAACTAAAATCCCAGTGATGCCAATCTCACGTAAGAGGGAGAGAACCCATATCACTTCAGTACAAACATCAGCTAACCCTTTGTATTCAGCCTCCGTAGAGGATCTTGCAACAGTTCTTTATTTCTTGCATACCCAAGACACAAGATTTGACCCAAGAAAAACAGCATAACCACTGGTTGACTTACGATCTCCATGACAGCCAGCCCAGTCTGAGTCAGAGGAGACATGTAATTCTCTGGATTCATATTTTCGGATACATAAACCATAAGATAGAGTCCTTTTGACATACCTCAATACACGCTTGACTTGTTCCCAATGAGTGACCGTAGGAGCACGCATGTCTTGACAAAGTTGATTGACTGCAAAGGATAAATCTGGTCTGGTGATAGTAAGATATTGAAAAGCTCACGCTTGGCTTGTTCCCAATGAGTGACCGTAGGAGCATGCATGTCTTGACAAAGTTGATTGACTGCAAAGGATAAATCTGGTCTGGTGATAGTAAGATATTGAAGAGCTCCAGCCAGACCACGATGACCACCATTCCCGCGACGACCGCCACGAGACTGCCCGGATTTCTAGACGGAAAAAGCTATCAGCGACGGTCCTCCACTGCCGGCGACGAACTCCTCGGCATTGAGGAGGTCACCAGTGTTCCTCGGACATTGAGAGAAAATACAAGACCCCGAATTCAAGTCGCGAACCCCGAAATACGTGAAGGTTTTGTTCTTCAAGCGGAAGGTGCCGGCCGGCGAGAGTTAAATCCTCAATGAGAACTTGTGCCCGACAGATATAATCAATGACGGAAGCATCACCTTGTTGCAACGTTTGAAGTTGCCCGAGAAGGTTCAACGAGCGAGACCGAGATGAAGAGGCAAGTGCAGAGGTAACGACAGTCCACACTGCACGGCTGGTGTGATGTCCGATAGCCAAGGACATAACTTCATCAGACAACGATGACATGAGCATAGAGAGAAGTGTGACGAACTCATGGATGATAAGCAAGATTCGGCAAAGGCAGCGCTCCCTCTTCGCCGGACGAGATCGTGGCCGGCGGGCAAGGATTGGTTCCGTCGATGAAACCCATTAGATCATGTCCGTTGAGAAAAGGAACAACTTGAGCCCTCCAAAATAAGAAGTTCCGATGAGTCAATTTGACGATGATGAAGTGATGAGCCGTGGAGATGGTGATTACGGTTGAAGTAACTGATGAGAGAGGGGCATTAGAAACGGTTCGTTCAGAGGAATTGACAGATCCGTCGGCCATTGGATAGAAACCCTAGCTAGCTGATACCAGACGATAACTGTAATGAATTGTATTAACAGTCCTAAATGATAAGAGTACAAGACCTATGTATATATACAAGAAGAGACATAGGGAGACTAGGATTGAGAGACTTAGGGAGACTAGGATTGTGAATCATAACTAGACTCAAATACATAGATAGAGTCCTAATAGCCCTAAGTATGCTTTATTAAGTGCCATTATGACATTAACGAGATGAATAATCTTCATTTTTAAAGAGTAAATACTCAAAATGGTCCCTCGACTATAGCTAAATTCACAAATTGGTCATCGACTTTTAATTTCAACAAATTAAGTCCTTAACTTTGCAATTTTAACACAATTTGGTCCTATGTCTATTTGACTGTTTGTTGACTGCGCTTTTTTAGGATATATATGTAATTTCATGGTCCATCGTCGGTTTTTTAAGATTCCGGTTGCATTTCTACACCGCACTATTACATTTGAATTCACTGTCGGCGTTGCACCCCATGCTGGAGAGATTATAGCTTTTGATAGATCGCCGAAGTCCCTGGAGTGGCTCTTCGAGAAAGCCGTGACTCCAAGCGATGTAGGCAAGCTGAACTGGCTCGGGATCCCCAAGCAGCAAGCGGAGAAGCACTTCCCCCCTCCGAAACGGCGCTGTCACCTCCAAGAACGTTCTCTAAGCTGAACCGGTTCGTGATCCCCAAGCAGCAAGCGGAGAAGCACTTCCCCCTCCGAAACAACGATGTCACTCCAAGAGCGTTCTCTTGAGCTTTGCACGTGAAACTACATATATATCCTCAAAGATCGCGGTCAACAAACGGTCAAATAGATGGAGGACCAAATCGTGTCAAAATTACAAAGTTAAGGACTTAATTGGTTGAAATTGAAAATCAAGGACCAATATGTGAATGAGTTAATTCCAGCAATGGTCCTCCGACTATATTGATTTTCCAAAATTAGTCCTTGACTTTTAATTTGGACACTTTAGGTCCCTTGACTTTCAATTTCTTTCCAATTGAGGTCCTTTCGTCAGAATACGGTTAATTGAATTTTAAATGAAGGGGTAAACTCATCATTTCACATGCCTATGTATTATTCTTAGTATTTCTCCATTGTATACGCGATATATATGAAGATAATCTTAGTCGAAACCCTAAAATGTTCCTCGTCATTCCCCATTTGCTGACTACTCGTGTGTGCGTTCCTCTATTATTGAGATGTTTACAAGGTATAACAGCGAAATACGAAGGGAGAAATACGAAGAATAATACATAGGCAGGTGAAAGGACGAGTTTACCCCTTCATTTAAAGTCTAATGAACCGTATTCTAACGAAAGGACCTCAATTGGAAAGAAATTGAAAGTCAAGGGACCTAAAGTGTCCAAATTAAAAGTCGAGGACTAATTTTGGAAAATCACTATAGTCGGAGGACCATTGTTGGAATTAACTCATTTGTGAATTTAGCTATAGTCAATGGACCATTTTAGGTATTTACTCATTTTTAAATTACTAGTAAACTTAAATTATGTGTGTTTCTTTCCAAGAAAAAATAAATTATATGTATTTAAAATACTAAAAATAACAAAGAATGTTTTATATTGTTGTACCTATTAAATGTTAGCAATTATGACTAAATAACAAGGAATGTTTTATGTTAGCAATTATGATTAAACATTACGAAACTATCAAGAAGCACTTATTTAAATCTTTTATGACTACACAATTTTTTGAAATCAAAACTTTAATGCACCCCAAAAAAAAAAATTGTTCTTGGACTTTGGAATATGCTATCTAGCTAGAAGTTGGATCCTAAAAGAAGTTTAATCTTTTCTGTTTAACAAGAAATTCTTGTTCTTGTATAGCGTGTGTATAGTAGACACAATATAATATTTGAAGGATTGGTAGAGTAGCCTTTCCTATTCTCTGTTGTTTCTTTCTTATATTTTACCCAAAGTGCCAGAAAATGAAGACATACATTCCCTTGGTATGGTCCCCGTTTGGCTTATCTGTTACATCTTCCATCATCTTATACCGGAGAAGTAATTTGTAATTACTTTTACATGGCATGCATTATTTTGTTAAGACATGAAAGCATATAAAATTTACATCATTATTTACTATCAGTGTAAGTTGTTGAGTATGTATGTCTTATATGTTATTGGGAGATGACAAGTGTTGAAGTATAGTGGAACAAAGTGATATAGTACATACATGTTTATGTCGTTTGAACTTGGAATTAGGTTTGCTGAGTTGGTTAAGGGTGCGGGGCAGCACCCCCAAGGTATGGTATATGGGTAATTTTGTAAATGTACTGTTAGTGTTTTCTATAAATATGATACTTGTAACCGATTTTTTTCACTCCAATGAATGTAGGCAACAACCAAACTACGTAAATCTTCTTCTTCTTTATTTTTTCTTTTTCTTTTTTTCTATCTTTTTTTCGTGATCTCTTGCTCTTGTTTTTTTCTCAACACAAGTGTGTTCTCTCAATTGATACTGAAGTAGACTTTTATAATTGTAGACTTAGGTGAATGTGGCTCAAAATGTTCAAACTATGGACTTAATGAGAAATCTTACAATATCTTGTATGCTTTGTAAAATAGTTCCTTGTAATTCATCAAAAGTATGTTGGGGGAGAATAAAACTTACCAAAAGTACATTGGGGGAGAATACAACTTACCAAAAGTACATTGGGTCAAATACTCAAATAGTGAATATTAAAATTGTGAGAAAATTTTATAATATTGTACATGTAGTTTGTACTTTTTTAAAGTCTTGGGGGAATTACCATTGACCTTCATTAGCTTAGTTATCATTGACCTAGACCTCAACAAATATAATTCTAGATTACAAATACAAGTTAAAGGAAGAAAGATGGCTGAACTAGGAGCTTGGCCAAACCCACCCAAGATCTATAACGGTCATGTTGACATTACAGGTGCTTATGCTCCGCAAATTTCGTGCAGAAACAATATTAAGACAAATCGTGGAAGACACATGTCTTCCTATTATTTATAATCAATTGCATATTCTAAATCTATATCTATCAAAACACAATACACAATTTTACAAAACATAAGATATCGTAAAAAAAAAAAACTTTCAAAACCATGTTAATTAATTACTTATTGTACTTGGAAGCCTAGAAGCTAAGGAATCTTGGAAGGCTTTGTTACGGTACTAGGATGTCCCACTCTGCTATGGAGATCATGTGCACTTCAGCTTCTATACAAGCTGTTGTTTTGTCTGAACACTAGGGCAGACGTAGTCGATAGACGATAGCCATACTTTCTGCATTTAATGGATGAGAATTGAGAAGGGATATGATGTGTGGATTCATAGATATAATCTATTCTATTCAGAATATAATGGAAGGGACAAAATTTTGAGGTGGTTTTTTTTGTGCTATTTCCCATCTGGCAATTTGCAATCCACCAATGCATTGTGGGCATGCATTCAATCCAAACCCAAACCACAATACAAACAACTTACTTTCCAAACCACATGCAATCCCCACTTCCCAACAATAATATAATGTGCACGGGAGAACCAAGGATAGATTGCCTTGCAATTTTTTATTAGGTCAAATAACTTTTTCAATCAGTTTTTTGAGAAAATCATTTTGTATATAATCAGCTAACAGCTAATAACTAATTTACCAGACACGTTTCTACAATCAGCTAATGTTATCAGTTAACAGTCATTTATCAAACACCCCAGTGAGAGGTCTGGCATGAAGCCTGGCGGTTAGCAAGTAGTAACTACTTTGAGGCAAGCGGTGGAGATTTTTGCCGTTTGAAAGGGGGGGGTTTTAAAATTTTTAACAAGAGAGCACTAACTGTCAAGATAGTTATTGGGAAACCAGTCACTAATTCTTGTCCTCATTTCTGTGGCTTTCTTAGCTTTGTCTTTCATCTTCCCCACTTGTGCACTCAGAGAATGTCAGTAAAGAAGCCATTCCACATCTCCCCTCTCTCCCATCAATGGCGTCTCTGCAACAACTCCTAGCGGAAGAAGGGTTCGAGGGAGGAAGGGCTCTCGAAGCTCGAAGCAAAGTCAAGTTCAGAGCAAGAGAATCTCGAGACGAGTCTGTTGTTTTGCCTATCTACATCTGCCATGACAGAAAAAGCTCGGATTTTTCCAAGCAGAGGAGCAAAGGTTCTTCGTTTTATTCCTCCTCGTCGAGGAGGAGGAGGAGGAGTTTGGAGTCGGGGATATCAAATCCATGGTCGACGACAGCTGAGACAGTTGCAGGCAGAGATAATGAGCCTGCAATTGATGAAGTTGCCATTAGAGCAATGGTTTCTATACTGTCTGGCTATGTTGGAAGGTACCTGAGAGATCAAAGCTTTCGCGAGGCGATCAAGGGCAAGTGCTATGCATGTTTCACCAGGAACAAGGCTGAATCTGATGACAACCCCGTTTTCGCAAATATAGAGATGGCAATTGAGAGTGTTGAGAGCCTGGCAGCCAGGCCTAATGGCACCAAGAAAGAACTGGAAGTCAAATCCCTGCAGAACTCCATCAGTCTCTTAACCATTGTAGCTTCTTTGAACTCTGAAACTTCAAGAAATGGTTCAACTTGTGGAATCCCCAATTCCCATCTCTCTGCTTGTGCACAGCTTTACTTATCAATCATCTACAAGCTCCAGAAAAACGACAGAATTTCAGCCAGGCATCTCCTGCAAGTATTCTGCGATTCGCCTTTTCTGGCAAGGACTTGTCTTCTTCCTGAGCTCTGGGAACACCTGTTTCTTCCACACCTCCTGCATCTCAAGATTTGGCATACCAATGAGCACGAATTCTTGTCGAGCTCGGGCTATGCTGACAAAGAGAAGAAGATGAAAGGATTGAGAAAGCTGTACGATGATCAAACGAATGTTGGCACACAACAGTTTGCTCTGTATTATAAAAAGTGGCTAAAAACTGGGGGTGAACCCCCACCTGTTCCTTCAGTGCCATTACCTTCAAGATTCAGCTATGCAACAAGGAGGAGGAAATCCTCAGACTCTTTCACTTCCCATTCATCTACAAACAACAAATCACTGTAAGTTGGAGCTGTAATGAGTATAAAACTGATAGAATTAGTAGTTAAAAATTGTGTTAGGATGAAAAGCTTACTATTTCAATGCCACATTTTAGAAAGGCAGGGTGCTGGACTTGGCCCTTCGGGCCCTTTGCCCAACAATCCCCTAGCCACCTGGTGCTGGACTTGGCCATTCAGGCCTCGGCCCAACAAATTGTATGCTAACTGGTAATTGTAATAAACTTGAAGATATAAAGCTGTTTTCGGCCCCATCGGAGAGAGGCAGGCCTTGGATTTTGATAACACAAATGAAAGTTTCAGCAATCCATGGGATTCTGCAGAAGCTAATGGAGATGGCATTAAGCATTGCAATTACACTGAAGTGAGTAACCAAAGCTCTCTTAATTTTCCTAATCTCATCAAGACTTTCAAATCTGTAATTCAATTTTCTTTTTTTAAAAAAATAAAAATTCCTGTCTCCAGAAAGGAGATGTTGTTGTTCATAGAAGATCAAGAAGTCAAAGCTACAGAAAACCAGAAGCTGAGTTTCAGGCTGAGACTAAAAAATCAGACTACTTTCGGTTCTTCACCTGCCAAAGTGAAACAAAAGGTTGCTTGGTAAATGGAAACATCATGGATGGAGATGTTTCATGTGAAGAAAATATAGATTTCTTTGCTCCAGACAGTCTAGGTGAGGCGATTTCCACAATCTGCTCCTCAGACAGCCTAAGTGACTGTGAAAACGTGATCCGTTTGCTGGCCAAAACTTGGCTAGATTCTGATGGAGATCCCAAAATGGAAAGTGAATTATCCAAGAGACCAGTCATTGAAGGAATAATGGAAATCTTATTTGCTTCCAAAGATGATGAGATTCTTGAGCTAGCAGTCTCGATCTTAGCTGAACTGGTAACTAGGAAAGAGATGAACAGGCAGGTTATACTGAACTCAGATCCTCAGCTTGATATCTTCTTGAAACTATTTAGAAACAGCAGCCTTTTTCTCAAGGCAGCAGCTTTACTTTACCTAGTGAGACCAATGGCAAAGCAGATGATCTCACTGGAATGGATTCCCTTAGTCCTTAGAGTACTCGAGTTCGGGGATCAGGTACAGACCTTATTCGCGGTTCAATGCAGTCCCCAAATGGCAGCATACTACTTTCTCGAGCAACTTCTCTCGGGCTTCGATGAAGACAAAAACTTGGAGAACACCAGGCAACTCATCACACTTGGAGGGCTAAGTCTGCTGGTGAAGAGGATGGAAACCGAAGATGTTTGTGAGAAGAACAAAGCTGTTTCCATAATGTATAGATGCATCCGAGCCGATGGAAGCTGCCGCCATTACTTGGCTAGAAGCTTGAACAAAGACTCTTTTCTTCCTCTTCTTCTGGCTAGAGAGGAGCAGAGATATCAAGGGGATGCCTTTGCTTTACTCACAGAGCTTCTCTGCCTTCACAAGTAAGCACAATCATTCCCCCCATTCTAATCTTTCTTATTTCAGTCCGGGCTTACCTGAATGATTTTCTAATTTCTACAGACAATTCCAGAGAACAGAATTCTTGAATGGACTGATGAATGGATGCTTGAACACCATGCATATATTGTTAGTCTATCTCCAGAGAGCTCAACCCGAGAAACGACCCGTTATAGCAGCAATTATGTTGCAGCTTGATCTTTTGGTGAGTCCATTTTCAGCTTACAGATACAGCATATCACACTAAAATTGCCAAGAAGTTGTTTCAGTGAGATCCTCATATACTTTCAGTCACCCTGCAGGGAGATCCAACAGTTTGCAGTGTATACAGAGAGGAAGTATTAGATGAAATAATCAAAGCACTAGACTGTCAAGTGTTCAATGAAAGTGTCCAGGAACAATCCACCAGAGCTCTCCTGATTCTCGGGGGGCGATTTTCCTACACCGGAGAGCCAGTGGTGGAGCAATGGGTGTTAAAAGAAGCAGGCTATGATGACTTCTTGGTGGATTCTTATTACAGAAACTGCTCATCCATCTCTGATGAATACATGCACCAGGTATTATTGTATAATTCCCTCCTTCAATAAACAGTGTTTTGGGCCAAGTCCAGCACTAGGTATCTAGGAGATTGTTGGGCGAGGGCCTGAGGGCTCAAGCCAAGTCTAGCACCAGGTGGCTAGAGGAATGTTAGACAGAGGCCTGAAGGGCCAAGTCCAACACCCTGCCTCTTGAAAATGTGGCGCTAACTGCTATGCATGTAATAAAGAAACAAAGTTGTGTCTTTGCTACTAGTTATAGGTTTTGGCGTAGTGTTAAACGTTTGATCCTAACACAGTGTTTCTGTGGAAAACGTTCAAGCTCACTGATCTTTTTTGTTCTCAGAACAAATGTGATGAGTTGATGGAATCATGGCAGAGGAAAACAGCAATGGTGCTGCTCACCAATGGAAACCAGAGACTGCTGGCAGCACTTGTGGATTCCATAGCCAATGGGATCCCTTGCTTAGCCAGAGCAAGCCTGGTGACCGTTTCTTGGATGAGCAATTTCTTCCATTCCATTGAAGACACAAGCCTTAAATCTGCAGCATCCTCAATCCTAGTCCCTCTGCTCACCCAACTCTTAAACCATAAAAACTCCCTCGAAGAAAGACTCCTCTCTTCATATTCATTACTTGGTCTCGCAAAGAATTCAGGCAAGTAAATTTCATTCCACCCCCACACTCACTCTTCAAATGAAATAGCAGTACCAGATTAAAAACCGAGTTTTTCTTCTTCGTTTTACAGAATGCATTTGTAAGTTGACAACTTCAGACAAGGAGCTAATGACTAACCTTCACAAACTGTCCAAGGTTTCCAGGACAGCACAAGAGCTTACCTCAATTCTCTCAAGCAGCCGGCAACAAGCCTGAGATTCTGCACCACTGCATCTTTAAATGCCTGTACAAGTCTCTATGTATAAAAGATAGTTATGATTCCTGTAGAAACCATTGCTTATTTGGCAAGATTGAATTAATAATGAACAAATTACACTTTTGGTCCTGTGAGTAGTATAATACTGGCAATTTGAGTACGTGACTTTCAAAATTCCCAATTTAAACCTTTAACTATGCAATTTTTGGCACATTTGGTCCTCCCGGCCAAATTGCCGGCCAATTTTGGCCGGAAAGTTTTAAATCATTTTTAATTAATTAATCAGAGGGGCAAAGTAGTCCTTTCACACTCTTTCTTCTTCTCCATTCTCCCCCTTCTTCATCGTTGCAGCGACGGTGGATTTTTCCGGCGACGAGCAAAGACTGAAACGCACTTTCCTTCTTCACACTTTCTAGTTTGTATCGTCATCGCCTTAGGTAATACACAATTTCACTTCAATCATTTCGAAAGCTTCTGCTATTTTCTTCCGCTGAGGCGTATGACATTGCAGCGATTAAGTTTAGAGGCGTAAATGCAGTCACGAATCCAAACCAGAACGGCAGCGGCGATCACGGGAGAGTTCAGGAGGATAATGCAAACGTCGCCGCCGCGCCGGACTGGAGAATAGCGCTTTATCAGTCGACGGCGGAGGAGCCGCCGCCGCCGCCCAGAGCTCGTCGGCATGTTTCGGGTTGGGGGAATCGGCGGCGAGAACGCTGATGAGCGCTCACTTGTCGAACGCTTCTTCGCTGGTAACCAGCGTGGAGAGCTCCCGGGAATGCAGCCCCGACAAGATGAACACCGTCGGAATGGGATCGGCGGCGACGAGTAGCAGCACGATTTAGTGAGTAGCAAGCCTCCATAGACGGACTCTTTAGTGTTTAGTTATTAAAGCTCCGATTTCTTTGCTAACCCAATCCGTCGCTGCAACGATGAAGAAGGGGGGGGGAACGGAGAAGAAGAAAGAGTGTGAAAGGACTACTTTGCCCCTCTGATTAATTAATTAAAAATGATTTAAAATTTTCCGGCCAAAATTGGCCGGCAATTTGGCCGGGAGGACCAAATGTGCCAAAAATTGCATAGTTAAAGGTTTAAATTGGGAGTTTTGAAAGTTACGTACTCAAATTGCCAGTACTATACTACTCACAGGACCAAAAGTGCAATTTGTTCATTAATAATAATAATAATATTTCAAAAATCTTTTTCTTCCTCATTGAGAAAAAAATGCAGATTTGGCACAGGCACTGCACTGCACTAAACATGCTCACAGAATGCACCACCCTTGCACATTAATTGCAAGGGTGGTGCACTAAACATGCTCACAGAATGCACCACCCTTGCACAGTAATTGCAAGCGTGGTGCACTAAACATGCTCACAGAATGCACCACCCTTGCACAGTAATTGCACCCTTAGTTAGAAAGAAGATTAAAGCTGCTGCGGTTTCACCATTCTTTCTAAAAGTGAAAGATAGGCAAATAAAAGATTGGCTAATAAGCTGACACAATTTAATGACAATAATTTCACACAATCACAAAAAACCAAATTTATAAAACAACACACAAACAAGTCCAGTTCACCAACACTGGACAAATAAAACACAACATCAACAATCCATTGCAGTACAAACACAAACCGTACTGCCAACAAGAACAACAATTGTCAAATGCAGTACAAACCAACAGTACTGCCCTCAAGAACAACAACAAAAACAAACACAGCAAAAACTACAACAGCGGTCACCAGACACGCTTTTATTTCCAACAGGCACACCTTCCTAAGCTATGAATCCCATTAGATTCACGCACAAACCATGTATGCGCAATGGGAAGGTCAGGCCATCTCCACCCCATAATTGGTGTCTGATGGGCGGACCCATCAGACAAAGAACATGATGTCTTTCAGATCTGGGTGGAGGTTGTAGAATTGCTGTTGGAATGACAATCCAGCAGAGGATGACGAAGATGATGCAGCAGCAGCAGTAAATGGCGAGACAGATGGTTCCCTCTCCTTGACCACCTCCTGGAACATGCGCCCCCTGTAAGCAACGAGATCAGCATAGTACACCGGGGGGACCAGGGAAACAGCTTTGGCACAGCGGGCGAAGGTGAAGCACAGGTCATAAATCAGCTTCTGCAAGCTGTCAGAGGTGAAACGATTCTCGTCCCACAGAACATAGTAGTGCGTCGGCTTGCTCGTCCCAAGGCCTCCATAATGACTGCACAGATAGAAATCAAAGTCATTAGGGTGGACAACCGTTGTGTCCACAACTGTTCCAGGAGGCACATTGCCCGTGGCTCCTCCATCGCTCCTGTTCTTGGGGAACAGGCGGGTGCTGTGCCTCTTCTGTGCAACAACCAGGGTGATCGGTGGCTTATAGCCTTCAACATAAACAGACTTCATCAGATCAATCAGCTCTTCATTCAGTACCATATCAAACTGACCCTCACTCACACCATCACGGAAGACCACAATTCTCGAAGGCCTCACAGAGTTCATCCGAGCATACGTGTCCACGAGACCCGCACACATGCTCCCAAAATTAAGAATCCTTTCAGTTCTGTGACTCTGCGGGCAGACCCTAGCAGCATAGCGATTCGCTGCAGGCCAATTGACTGTGGCAACAACTGCAGCTATGGATGGACACATAGAGTTCCGGGCAGCAGGATGATTGACATCAGCTCCAATGAACATCACATGCTCTTGACCACTAAATTGAGGAAACTTTTCAACAAGCTCGAAATTGCTTCCTCCCAGCTTAGCATTAATCTTCTTGCAGAGATTAGCGAGATCTTGGTCACGCTCTTTGTTGAAAACAGTGGTCAAGAAGCATTGTGTCACTACCCCAACTTGTGTTTCTGAAACCCACTTCACATACTTGTAGCCAGCATGCTTCCCAGACATTGCACACAGGATAATTTGCAGTTTTCCCTTTGTTTTCCTTCCAGCTTCCTCAACCACACGCTTAAAGAGATTTTCAACCTTGCTGACAGAGTTGAGATCATACATGCTAGCCGGGAGATAAACCAGGGGTTCTTCCATGGGGATCCCCATACTTCTGCAACGCTGTTTCAATTTACCCACAAAATCCTGGGGCCTCAACCTGTATCTATCAGAAGAAGTAAAATCTAGCAACGCCCATCGCTCAACTGGGGTGCCATTAACAACAGATTTCCCAACAAGGTTCCACTGGCATTTGTCATTAATAGGGACCCTGCCTGAACCACCAAGCTTCACTTGAGGGGGAGGAAGTATGCGGCCTGTAACCGGTGTCATGGGCATATCAACTTCAATTCCAAAGTTTCTACTTACCTCCCTGTCATAAGCAAGTAAAAAGGTAAAAATTTAGCAAAAAGAAAACTCTTATTTAGTCTAAAAATGTGGGCTAAAAGTAGAAACTTAAGTGCAGTATATGTGCACCTTGAGTGCATTGGCCGAATCTTAAATTCTAACAAGCTATAATCTTCCTAGAAACTTAATACTAGAAAGACAATTAAGATTTAATATATTGAATCCCTACAACTAGAGATGCACAAAGAAGACAAACCATTTTGGGTATAAAAATTGAAATGTATGAACACATAGAGATATTGAAAAACAATAATATATATTTCATACCCGCAAGGTCCATCCTCAGCCTGAACCATTTCATTAATTGCAGCCTGCCTTATATGTGGTAGAGGAAGTGATAGCTTCTTCAAGAAAAGGCCAGTATCACGATCCAAATCCTCCTTTGGAAATATTTGCCCCCCAACCAAGACACAGAACTCCATCGGCAAAAACCTGTCCCTCCCAATATCCAAACAGGGGATATCTGGGTAAACAACCTTCTTCCCATATTTATCCATGAAGTAGTCAACAAGATAGGATACTCTGGATGGATCATCCCCATCTTGAAATGTTATCTCTCGTGTCCTTTTCTGGGTTAATTTGGATATGATGTACTTTTGTTTGGTTTTGCGATGAGTCACATGTACTTTCAACCCCCTCAAAGCTTCTTCAACCATTTTCCTGAACCTATCAAACTGATCAAGTCTGAAACCTGTAATATACTGGTGAAGGAACTCCAAGACAGGCAATGCCTTGCGAAATGCCAAGACCGAATAGTCAAGACATAAAGCAAGACCTTGTGAGGTCGGCTTCAGGCTATGTTGGTAGCCTCTGTGAGCTGCAACACCAAAGCCAAAATCTTCTTCGGGCCGATAATCAGGGGAGAAATAGTACTTTCCAACAGGTATCCTGCTTCTTGAAGGGTTGTCTTTCATCACCAAATCCATAGCCTGGAGAATTTCACGAGGTATGTGAGAGACGGTTCCACCCAAGTAATCCTTAAGCTTTGAAAGCTTTAAGTCAGCAACATGCTTGATGGTGAACATATATGTGCGAGTCCTGGAACCATCTCCAGACAAAACCACCTTGAATTCTCCACTAGGTAGTGGAGCTACACTGAAAACGTTCTTCTCTCCATCATAAGTAGTCATGTCCACAGGAAACCCACTAGGATTATCAGCGAACAGTTGCTTCTTGATCATGGCAAGATCAGATCTTGAAATCGTCTTCTTGGTTGGCTCATTCTCAACTTTGACTTGCTTGACATCCACGTCGTAGTGGAATATGGTTGTGTTTGGATTAAAAGTAACTGGGAAATGATTAACAAGCAGATTGATTTTCCTGATTGCAATGGTTCCAACATTTGGCCTTTTGATTGGTGCAAACTTGTTCTTTGAACCTTCATGAGGCAATTGCCTCACGCTAGTCTCAACAGGTACTGCAAAACAAGAAAAAACATGGTTTTAGGGAACAGGCTGATGATTGCCACACTATCACAGAAAATGTATTCAAGAAAATAGGAAAAAAAAACATAACAGAGCGCAGAAAAGATATGTTTATATTTGCATATATAAAAAGTATATTTAAACTTAGGAGAGATAAACTCAAATACGGAGATATAATTTTTTTTTTTTTTAAAGCAAATAAATGTGTATGAAAAAATACCTGGAGGCAAAGCAGTGACTTGGGGTTGAGACTGAGACTGAGGAGAAGAGACCATGGATGGACCCCAGGGCCTTGGTCCTCCAGAGGGACCCGCACTCCGTGGATGCTGAAGTTGGGGGCGATGGGACCCACCCCAAGCACCAGTGGCACTACCGCCACCGGGTTGCGGTTGCTGCTGCTGAAACGGTGGCCGCTGTGGGCCACCCCAGGCCGGAGTGCCACTAGGCTGCTGAAACTGTGCTCGTGGTGGTGGACCCCACGCGCCACTACCAACAGGCTGCTGTTGCCCTCTCCAAGGAGCCCCGCCAACCGGATTCACCGGACCCTGCTGGTGAGGTCGCGGATCCCCACGGCCCTGCCCGTATCCACCCCGGTAAGATCCACCTCCACCTCCACGTCCACCCCGGCCGCCGGCGCCGGCAACACCTTGATCACCTTGACCTTGTTGACCCCGACCCCCGCCGCGACCACGGCCTCCGCCACGCCTCCCATTTCCGCCTTCCATATCCACACTCAAATAACTATAACAATACCAAAACAATAAACCTTATCTTAGCTCAAATGCCTCACTATCAACTGAAAATGCATTTATGAAGATCAATGTAAAGCAAAAACTACACTTTTATACGCAAGGAATCTAGTCTTGTCTAGCTGAAAATGACGAAAAAGGGTTCCTTAGCCTTAGGCCCCAAGCATCGACCTCTGATTTGCTAAAGAACAAGAAAAATCATGAAAATTCTAGAAAGACCCATTGAAAAGAGAAAACGCGTAGTGAGTTGGGTCACGCAGACTGGGAGCGGAAGAAGATACGGTGACTGTTGGGGAAGACGGAAGAGAACGCCATAACGCTAACACAGACACCCACAAATGGCGACGTGCCACGTGCACAAAGATACAACATACGGAGTACGGACACCACATTGACTTGACGTTTACCCTCACCAAAATTAAAACGGGCAGTTACACTAAAGTTAAAATGATGATGTCATGTCATGGTTTAAAGAGTAAATTTAATATTAATGTTTTAAATTTGTGAGTTTTTGTTAATAAATTAGGAGAGAGAAAACAGAAAGATGATAGAAAAAAAAAAACAAACAAACAAAATTTTTTACAAGACAAACATGGCGTGTGCTATGTATGTGCCTACTAGGTGCATATGTTGTGCTCAACGCGTGAAAAAATTTTGAGTTATGTTATTTTGGTTATTATATTCTATAATAGGGATTATATAAAAGAAATTAGACTACCTTCAAAGTTCAAAATAGATTTAAGAAGTTCAAGTACCAATAACTAATACACCACTTCCTTAGAATGGATTGCCTTACTTTAAATTGAAAGAAAAAAGAGGCTAGTCAAGAGAGATCAATAAAAGAAAGACAAAATTAGAAAACAATTTTATTTTATTTATAAACATAAAACACAGTTCTCACTTCACCATTCGATCTTGTTAGCCCTAAAGTTTTATAGTAGATATTAGAAAAATGAATACCTTCAAAGCGAAGAAAACATATCTAAAAAGTTCTAATAACAATAACTAGGACACCACCTTCTTATTCTAATCACTGACTCCCTTCACATTAATCAAGACATATCAATAGAAGAAAAAACAAATTAAAAAAAAATCAAATTGAAAACATAATTCTTACTTGACAATAGTATTTGAACTGATACCAGATGAGAATTGTATTGAATGAACTTAATTACAATAGTACAGACATGGAGAATATATACAAGATAATCATAAGGAGACTAGAATAGGGAGTCATACTATGACTCACATACAAAAATCCTAATACTAGTCTTAATAGTACTAGTTACTAAGACATCACATTTTTTTCTTACTCTAGAAATTAGAACCAACTACCTTCTCTTTATAGTTTTATCGTTTTAACTTCAAGTTTTATATTATGGATCAAAGAAAATAGTACCTTTACAACGAAGAAAGTAAATATGAAATTTTTTAATACCTATAACCAAGAGACCACATTTTTTTTCTTGGATTTTTGTCAATCAATTAGGAAAGATAAGAAGGAAGATTTTTTTTTTTTTTTGGACCCGTGCATAGTAAGCGCACATGTTGTGCTCAATGTGCAAAAAAATGACTTGCTTTTTTCTTTATCTCATCGCACGGGTCCTACTAAAAATTAACATTTACATTAAAAAAAAAAAAAAGAAGTGTAAAAATCACCTTCTCTATTTATCAAAAACATGCTGTTTAGATTTTTCCTACTACAAAAACCCTAAAAAAATCCCTAATGGATTGCTCTAAGCCAAATGTACTTTGACCCACTCACCCACCTACAAATCGTGTTTTTGTTCTTACTGCTGCTTTCATTTATTGCCATGAAAATCCCAAAAAAAAAAAAAAAAAAAAAAAACTTAATTAATGTGGTATTACAAATTAAAATTTTGGGCTAACAAATTGAGGAAGCTCATTGGGCCTTAAGCCCAACTAAGACCTAGACCAAGTTGAGGAAGTAATTGGGCTCATACCCAATCTAAGACTAGGCCCAAAGTGAATAAAGTTTGTTGGACATTGGGACAGGCCCAAACTGAGTAAGGTCATTGGACCTCAATCCCAATCTAAGACTGGCCCAATAAAGATGTCTGTGCATTAGCCCAAATTAGGAAGATGTTGGGCCTTAAGCCCATTATACGGCCAGGCCCAAATCATGAAGCCGTTAGGCCTTAAGACCAATATAAGGCCATGCCCATATTGAGGGATGTCATTGGGCTTTATGCCCAAGATCAGACCCAAAATGAAGATATCTATTGGGCCTTAGGCACAATCTAAGGCTAGGCCCAAACTGAGGAAGTTGACAAATGTTTTAATTTAGAAAACTTCTAGAACTTTACCAACTCTTGAAACTCTCGCATTGCAAGTTTTTAGTCCAAAGAAAACATATTTGATAATAAAAAAACATTTCGTTTTCAATGCTACACAAAAACGTTATTTACACTTTAGGTCCATAAATTTGGTAACGTTCCCACTATTGAGTCACTTATATTTTTTTAAGAGAAAAATTTGGTGAAATCTCACTAAGTTTTGTTACATGACTTGTGAGTAAATAAAGTTTTTAGACAAAAATAACAATTTTTATTTTGTAAGAACATATCATATAAATAGACATTTTTATCTATAAATTTTGCCGCAAACACATCTTGTGACAAAACTTAATAGGATATATATTTATATACAACATTTTAAAGTGCCAGTGGTTGGCACCCATGACTCCTAAAGTGCAAATTGTGTACCTCAAATAGCAATTTTCATAATTGTTCATGCATCAATAGTAAAAATGTCATCAAATTTGTATTATCGATAATGGCAATAACTTTTATTGAAAATAAGAAACTCATGAAATCAATCTCGACCACTAGGCTAAACTGTAATGCTATTTTCAATTTTTACAAAAACAAAATTAGAATTTTTGGTTTTTATAAAAAGAAAAGCAAATTATAGGTTGTGTAGACTTAGAAAAGAAATCGAGAATTTTCAAACTTTCAAAATTTACGAAAATGAAGAATTTTTCAAAGTTTAGCAACAAGAAAAAAAAGAAAGAAAGTGTGTTTAGCAAATTCTATCTTCAAATGTATGAACAATATCCATATTTTTCAATTTTCTTTGCTTTGCAGAATTGGAAAACAAATTTAGTTTGTTTCCAAATGAAAAATACAATTTTTATTTCCAATTTTGTTATTTTGGTTATCACATTTTATAATAGGGATTAGATAAAAGAGATGAGATTACCTTCAAAGTCTAAAAGCGGATTTGAGAAGTTCAAGTACCAATAATCAATACACAACCTCCTTAGAATCGATTGTCTTGCTTTAAATGGAAAGATAAAAGGGGCTTGTCAAAAGTGATCAATAGAGGAAAGACAAAACTAGAAAACAACTTTATTTTATTTCTAAACATAAAACATAGTTCTCACTTCATAATTCGTTCTTGTTGGCTCCAAAGTTTTATAATAGATATTAGAGAAATGAATATTTTCAAAGCGAAAAAAGCATATCTAAAAAATTCCAATACCAATAACTAGGACACCACCTTCTTATCTTAATCACCAACTCTCTTCTCATTAATGAAGACAAATCAATAGAGAAAAAGAAAAAAAAATTTATTTTATTTTAAAATTGAAAACATAATCCTTACTTCACAGTTTTCTAATTTCAACTCTCAAATTTTATAATAGAGATTTAAAAAAAAAAGGAGGACCTTCAAAGTAAATAAAGCAAATTTAAGAAAATATAGTACTAGTTAAGACATCAAAATTTTCTTTTATTTAAAAATCGACTATCTTTTCTTTAAATTAAGACGCAAGAGAATCGATTGAGATTGATAGAAAAAACACAAAATTCGAAAATAACTTTATTTTGTTTCTAAACATAAAACAAAGTTTTCATTTCACAATTTTCTCTTTTCGGCTCCTAGGTTATAGTAGAGATCAGCAATTGGAATAGTTTCAAAGACAATAAAGCATATCTAAAAAATTCTAGTATCAATAACTAGAACACCACATTTGTCTCCTCTTTAAATGAAGAACAAGAAATTCAAGAGAGCGATAGAGAAAAGAGAAAATTATAAAACTTAAAAAAAAATCAGAAGAAAAACACAACTCTGACTTCTTATCATTTTAACTTCAATATATCATGAATCAAAGAAAAGAGTACCTTTACAGCGAAGAAAGTAAATCTGAAAATTTTCGTACCTATAACCAGGAGACCACCGTTATTTCTACTTCAGCACCGAATACCTTTCCTTTAAATAGAGAAACACAAAAATCAGTCGAGGTGAATAGAGAACAGAGAAGATATAAAAAAAAAATTGTTTCTAATCCAAAACGATAGAGATCGGGAGAAAAATTACATTCAAAGCGAAGAAATTCGATCTAAGAAGTTTTAGTACCAATGACTATGAAAGACCCTACCTTTTTCTCTTTCTTTAGAACCGACTACCTTCTCTTTAGAGTGAGAGGCAATAAAGTCAAGAGAAATCGATAGATCGAAGATAAATTCTCAATAGAGAGATATGAACACCTACTAGATGAGAATTGAGAGAAGAAAGTCTAGTATTTATAACGGAGAGACTGAAACAATACGGTCACAAATTCTGGAAAGCAATTAAGATTGAACAGATAGTAGATTAGGGTTAAATAGTTGGGCTCCGAGAAACACAAAAATCAATCGAGGTGAATAGAGAATAGAGAAGATATATATATATATATATATATATATATATATATATATATATATATATATATATATATATATAATTATTTTGTTTCTAATTCGAAACCATAGAGATCGGGAGAAAAATTACTTTCAAAGCGAAGAAATTCGATCTAAGAAGTTTTAATACCAATGACTATGAAAGATCCTACCTTTTTCTCTTTCTTTAGAACTGACTACCTTCAGTCAAGAGAAATCGATAGATAGAAGATAAATTCTCAATAGAGAGATACGAACACCTACTAGATGAGAATTGAGAGAAGAAAGTCTAGTATTTATAATGGAGAGACTGAAACAAGACGGTCACAAATTCTGGAAAGCAATTAAGATTGACTATTGAGAACAAATAGTAGATTAGGGTTAAATAATTGGGCTCCGAGAAACACAAAAATCAATCGAGGTGAATAGAGAATATATATATATATATATATATATATATATATATATATATATATATATATATATATATATATATATATATATTATTTTGTTTCTAATCCGAAACCATAGAGATCGGGAGAAAAATTACTTTCAAAGCGAAGAAATTTGATATAAGAAGGTTTAGTACCAATGACTATGAAAGACCCTACATTTTTCTCTTTCTTCAGAACCGAATGCCTTCTCTTTAGAGTGAGAGGCAATAAAGTCAACATAAATCGGTAGATAGAAGATAAATTCTCAATAGAGAGATATGAACACCTACTGGATGAGAATTGAGAGAAGAAAGTCTAGTATCTATAACGGAGAGACTGAAATAAGACGACCACAAATTCTGGAAAGCAATTAAGATTGACGATTGAGAACAGATAGTAGATTAGGGTTGAATAATTGGGCTCCGAGAAAAATTTGATGGCCCAATAAGTAAATAAATAAATATTAGATTTTTTTCCATTTGTAAAAAGTTTAAAATTGTGAAAAATGAATATATATATATATATATATATATATATATATATATATATATATATATATATATATATATATATATATAAAAGATGAATTGTATAGAGAGAGATAAACACCAATTATTTGAGAGTTGACATAGAAAAAGTATAGCATTTATGTTTCAAGACGACTGGAAAAAAAGCAACTAACCATGGATTCTGGAAATGAATGGTCTATACTCTATAATCTATAGAAGATAAACACCATCTAATTAAGAGTTGACAGAGAAAAGTATAACGTATATGTTTTAAGATGACTGAGAAAAGCAACCATGAATCCCGGAAAGCATTTAAGATTGGCGATTAAGAACATATAGTATATTAGGGTTACATAATTGGATTTAGAGAAAAATTGGGGGGGGGGGGGGGGGGGTGCAAAAATATATTTTTGAAATCTCTATTGAAATCCATCTAATCTTTGTAAGAGCGTGACGTGTACTACCATAGATTATGACAATGCATATTTTATACCGGGCAAGCTCTGATACCGAACAAACTCTGATAACAAGTTTTGATATTATGTTACAATATAAGATTGGGCCAATGTCACTCAACTGGGCTATAATGCATATAGGTCAAATCACACTAAAAGATTGAGTCCAATCAATTAGTTAGTCTAATGACACGCACCATTTTTGGTATTACACACGTCAAAAGATTTGGGATGAACCTCGAGTTTTATCATTCTCTCGGGATGACAAATTGGAAGAGTCGGAAGGTATTGAGTTGGTAAAGGGTATTACCAACCATGTACCCCGTCACAAATTTGTACATGATTAAATTAAGTTGTAGCACGGGAAAATGCAAACAATTAACTAAATCAAATGTAAAGAAACTATGATAGGATTGCTTATCTTTCTCATGATGCATATAGGATCATTAAACATAGGTTAGGACATTGCAAGAGTAGAATTATGTGATGGAATGCTAAGTCCGTTCACCTCTCGGTATACTAGGATTCCTCTTGGCTTATAACACCTTTTAGGTGACTAAGTACCAAATAGACATTTCATCGAACACCTTGCCTACACTTCATTCCTAGCTTAGGCCTCTCGGATCTTAAAGCTAGGAAATGCTAAAGAATTGGAGCTTCAAGTGATCTAGCAATCTCTTGCCTAGATCACTTGCTTAGATCAACTCAAGGAGTTGGCCGGACTCCACAAGAAGCTTACAAGACATTCAATGGCAACAGAATTCACAAACAATTGCAATATCTAAACCTAATTATGAATTGTATCGAGTTAATTCCAGCAATAGTTCTCCGACTATGTTGATTTTCCACAATTGATCCCCGACTTTTAATTTGGACAATTTAGACACTTGACTTTCAAAATCTTTCCAATGTTAGTCCTTCCGTTAGTTGAATGTTAAGTGGATGTTAGTTTGAGGGGTAAAGTAGTCATTTTACTTATTTAGACTCTAATTCACCGTCTATATCCCTTTCGCCGGTTTTTCTTTTTGTTTTATTTGGCCAATTCGCCGAATAACTCGTGTGTGGAGACCGATGTTTTTTCCTTTTTATTTTGCTTGTTCAATGGCTTCTCCGATGCTCCTTATTTGTTCTTCGACGAATGGGGTTATTCTATTGGCCAGTGTCAATGCTTCTAGGTTGAACAGAACAACGACAGTGAATGGGTCGCCAGTTTCTGGGTTGGAGAACGGTGTTGAGTTTCTGGGCAGTCAGAACACTTTGCGATTAGGACACTGTTGGGCAATCTTGCGAGCAACATCTTTGACACAGCCATGTCATAGATTCATCTCAACATCGCATTCTACACAACACGACAATACTAACACTGGAGGAGATTTGGGGATTTTGCTATTACACGCGTATACAGAGTGGATTTAGGGTTTTTTGCTAGGCTGATGTAGAACGAAATGAAACAGTTGTTAGAGAGATCAGAGTAGAGATTTGGAGTATTATTGTAAAATGTAAATACCACATTGAGAGAGAGCATCGAGGGTGTTGGTGCTGTCGCCGGAGAAGAGGTGGCGCCACCGCAACTCCTCATCGAGGCGTCGCTTCTCCGCACGGACAGCGACTTTGATGTCGTAGCCCTCGCCGACCAGCAGGTCCCACCAGAAGATGTGGAACAAGCTGATCATCATGTCGTCAATCTCGTTTTCCTTCATGTCTAGCAGTGTGTTCACAGTGAAGCCCAACTTGGATATCTTGGCGGCGGTGTAGTATCTGATGCGGTGATGCCGTAGGGGATCTGGGGGGCTGCGGCTTCTAGGAGCCTGCTTGGTGGGGCATTGCGGCTCCGGGTTCTCATTTGAACAAGCTTGAAGAGAAGCATTTGGGTCCATTTTTCTTTCTGTTTATGAAGGTTTAGTGGAGGTGATGACAAGTGTATCTATTCACACCAGTTTCAATATTCATACATTCATACTACAAGGAATTACACCCATCATGTGAAAAGGACTGTTCTACCCTTCTATTTGACATCCACTTAACGGGTTTGTGACGGAAGGACTAACAACGGAAAGATTTGATAGTCAAGTGTCAAAATTGTCCAAATTAAAAGTCGAGGACTAATTATGGAAAATCAACATAGTCGAAGGACCATTGCTGGAATTAACTCAATTGTATCTCACATTAGCATCATGATTAAGATTCACAATCCTAATTCTATTAAAAACCTAGCCACACATAGCTAAATGAAATAACATTGCAAATTCAATTGAAATAGAAATCAAAGTGGGAAAGCAATTAAATTGTACCAACTAGAATGTAAAATGTTGTCTTCTTCTACAATGGATCTTGAATGGAAGGTTGTCAAGCTTCTTCTCCAAGATTTTCAAGCTATGTGAGTCTAGAACCCTAAATTGCTAGAGAGAGAAAGTTTGAAATCTGAAAATGATCTAACTAGAATGAAAATGTGTTCAAAAGTCATTTTCAAATTCTAATTTTAGCCCTTAAATAGTCTTTCCATCAATTACTCTTCAAAATGGCTGAGCCTTCCCATCCACGTGCGTGGATTGGTCACTTAAGTTGTCTTTGGCTCGTCCCACGCACGTGGATCTTTCTGTTTCACTTCCACGTACCGTCCCACATGCGTGGATGATCGCGTGAAACTTTCTGTTCCGCTTCCATGCGTGCCTCCACGTGCGTGGCTAGTCCTAGCTAGCTCCGATTTTGCTCTTTCCTTGTGATGCTCCATTCCATGCTCATATGCCTCCTTTTGAAGCTTAGAACCTTCATAAATCATAAAAAACACATAGTAGAGTGGTGTTTCGCGGCACATTAGCAATTACAAGCATAAACAACCATAAATCACGCACAAAGGATATCAATTGAGTATAAAATGTCCCCTTAAAGACTCTAAAAGATGTGTGTCTTTGACACTTATAATCTAACTCATAACCTTAGCCCATCCTTAGATTCTAACATGGTATTAGAGCTTCTAACAAGGTATCAAAGCTTGTTTAGTTCAATCTAAACTTTTAGTCTAAAATGTGATTTGGCCCTTATACATTATAGCTTGGTTGAATAACCTTAATTCAATCTTAGATTCTAAAAAGTTATAATCTCCTTTAAAACATAATACTAGAAAGATAACTAAGATTTAATATATTGAATCTATTAAGCCTTTAAAAAAATTAGAAATGCACAAAGTGAACACCCTTAACAATCTATTTTAAGTATAAAATTTAAACGTATGCACACATTGAGATATCGAAAATAATAATAATAATAATATATATTTCATACCTGCAAATAGAGTTGTCAAAATAGGCCAACCCGACCTATACGGGTTGGCCCGCCTCGGGTGCGGCCATAAGTTGCCCGATCCGGCCCGTTTTTACACGGGTTGGAATAATCCCAACCTAACCCATGTTGAGCGGGCTAAACGGGTCAACCCGTTTATTTAATTTTTTAAATTTAGATTGTTACAATTTTTTAACTTTTGCATATCTTAGGAATTGAACTCCCAACCTCTTAGTTAAAACCTAACACTATTTCTAAACAAACACATTAAACTTTTTGAACAAATACTATGTATGTGTATACACTATACACACACACACACACACACACACACACACACACACACACACACACCAGCCTGCAAGGTCCCTCCTCAACCTGTACCATTTCATCAATTGCAGTCCAATTTCTCATATTGCGAAACTTCTAAGTTGCTTCATATTGGCCATTTTTCTTGGGCCATCTTGATCCAGTTATCCTTTTGGGCTAGTTCGCACGACCAAGTCCTTGTGGTTGACCAATCCGACATGTTGCCTTGAGGGCGGTTCAACCGGTCAACTTAGTATACCATTCATCATTAGTGATTAGCGATAACAAACTGTGTTATATTAGCGATTTTGGCAAGCAATTTATATCAACGATTTGTAAACAGATATTTGGTAAAACTAGCTATTTATGACTAAAAATTAATATATTAAAAGACCTAAAAGAGTATACATGATGGGGATATTGGAGGTGGGCCATGGACGCAGAGGGCCTACGTAATTGGGCCGACAGGGGGAGGCGAAGAGATTGGGCCGGAAGCCAGGAGGGGCAGCCGGCGCTGCCCGGCGCCGACGGCCGGACAGGGACGCCGACCGGGGAACTGGCTCCTGTCGGCCACGGTGCGGGCCAGCGCGGCCTTGGCGCCCGGCGCCGGTGGCCGGACAGGGACGCCGACCGGGGCGCTGGCCCCGGCCGACCACGGCGCGCCCGGGGCGCGGGCCAGCGCGCTGGGGCCATAGCCGACCCCGGGCGGGGGGCCGGCGCTGGTGACCGAGGGAGGAGTCGGCCGGGGCGCGTTGGCCCCGGCCGGCCGTGGCGCACCCGGCGCATCTGGTGCAGGGCCGCGGTCCCGGTGCCCCGGGGTGTCGGTCTCGGGCGGTATCCGCATGCAGGGGTGGGCGAGTGCGCCGAGCATGGTGAGTCGGGGGTGGTGTGAGCAAGGTGGCAAAGGCGATAGGATCCGAGAAAGGTGGAGAACGTGATGTAAAGGGCGACAGGCAAGCGGAGTGGGGAGTAGCAATGTGGGACACGTGGACGCCAAAGAAGGAGGGGGGGGGGGGTTATGCTATAAATAGGGGTCCTAGATCCTCAGCTAAGGGGCAACTCAGACACGACAGACACCCTGGTCTAGTGGTCTTGATTTCGTACTCTCAATCCAGTCACATGGGTGTGATTCCTATCAGTAACATAGTTAGCTATAGCCTACCCCGTGGGCCTTGTTCTTTGTATTTGGGCCGCCATTCCATTCTGAGCCTGTACCTCGGGCTTCTATACGCATCGTGTTGGGCCTAGCGCCCTACCCCCCGTTCTGTACTCCTGTACCCGGTTTATGGTGGGCCCGATCCTAATAAAACCATCAATACACATATTTAATAATAATTATTATAACAAAAGATTTTTTTTTAAAAGAGAAAAAATAATGGGTACAATTCACTAAGTTTTACCCATTGAGAAAAGTGCATTTGGAGCCTTGAGACTCTAATGAGCCTTGATTTTGCTTGCCTATCCATTGATGGGTTGGGGTGAAGCAAACACTCCTCTATTCAATGAGCAAAAAGGTTCCTCTATTGAAAGAGTCTGGATCCTCTGTTAGTATAATTAAAAAAAAAAAAAAAGTAATTGAGGGGGTGTTTAGGGGAAGGATATTCTTTTCCTAAAACGTCATATTGAAACGCTGCTAATTGCACCATTTCGGTTTTTAGGGGTTTGAAGCAAAACATTGCTCCAAAGCGTTGAATAACCAAATTATGACCTATATATATAAAAGAATGAATTTTTTTCAAAGTTTATAGTATAAGCCTATGCACTTGTAATATAAAACTTTTTCATTTTGTAGTATAAATATGTGCAATATATAGTATATACTTATGCATTTTCAAATATTAATTTAGAAAAAGCGAGGTGGTATTTTTGTAAATATCTCATACTAATATTACTCTTTGCACTCGTAGTATAAACTTATGCACTTGTACTATAAATTTTTTGCACTTTGTAGTTTAAATTTATAAACTCCAAAATTAGAAAAAAGTACCAAAATGTCACCATATTTTTAAAAATTTCCCTTTATATATGGATGGATGTATGTATGTATGAAAATTTTAAAATTGGATTTGTTTTTCCATGTGGAAGAGTTCAAAATTGTGAAAAAAAAAATGAAAAAATATATAT